TTCTTTGGATTGTTTTCAGTTTTGCAGCTTCTTATAAGTTTTTAAAATTGTCTCCAATAAAAAGTTTAAAAATAATCACAAATGGCTTTTCTGTTGGGACAGTGCAGAGATCCCTGTGAAAACAGAGTGGTTGCTGTGGGAGTGTGTGTGTGGTGTGGAGAGGTCTGTACATCTACACAGGCTCCATAGAGCACTTTGTCTCTTTGCTGCCATTTGTGCCAGGTCTGGGGCTTGCCCAGTGAGGGCCACTGACCTCACACCATCACTCCCAAGCAGCATGCTTAGTGACTTTGGGAGAAAGTGGTGGAGCTCTGAGGTAGATGGAGGAGTCCAGTGTGAGCTGCCCTGTAGGCTTTCTCGCCTTTGGCTGGGTCTGATAGGGAAGCAGACAGGCCAGATGTTTGCTGCACTGCATTCTGAGAGGCTTGCCATCTTTGGAGGTCTGTTTCCAGACTCAAGAGCTCTCCACTGGCCTCTAGTGGGCCAGTCTTTCTCCAGGTTCTCTACCTCTCTTGGAGAGGGGAGAGGATTCATGCTTACTGAGGGCTGACTTTGTGCCAGGCCTTGTGCTTTACATGTTATATTATTTAAACCACACAGAGCCCTGCCATGGGTAAACTGAGGCTCAGAAGGCTGCAAGTCCCACAAGGTCCCACAGCAAGCAAGGGGCAGAGCTGGTGTTCAAAGCCTAGACTCCCCTCTTTTCACAAGACACTCTTACTTCAGCTACTGAGATTTTTTTCTTCCTTTCTCTCCTCTTTGCTGTATGATTTGAGGTCACAGCCTGTCCTCATCCCAGGAAATAAAATAATTGCTAACAGGAATGGATCCAAAGGACTCAGCCAACTTTGGAAAACATGAGCAGGGCTGCCATCAGCCCTGTTCTATAAGGCTATGGTGATGCTGGGAGTCACTCCTTAGGAAGAAGACAGAAATATCTCTTGTCTTTGCTTTAACCTGCCAAAGTAGACAGTTTTTAAGGCTGGGGGCAAGCCATGGGCACTGGGGAGCCAGAGATCCTGGCCCACATATGGAACCTACAGTGGACAGTTGTTTGAAGAATCTTCCTGTCAGAGGAAGTTGGGATGGTGGTGAGGGCACTGGAGGAGGAAGGGGACTCCTCAGCTATAAGAATGGGGGTAGTGAGCAAAGGGGGATCCAGACAGTGCCCATTATTTCCAGGATGTGCTCAAGGGCAAAGTCAGAGCAAACTATGCATGGGTGGGAAGGGAAGGGGGATAAAAATTCCTTGGCAGTCTCCCCTTTCACCTCCATTCTTCCCTTCTACTTTTCTGGCCTTCCAGCCCTGGCACTCATCCTGTACCCAACTCTTAAAGGTTTCCATTAGCTGAAGACCCAAAGGAGGGTTTCTGGGAGAAGAGACTGTAAGCTTGAAGCTGCTGAAAGACATGAGACAGGAAGAGCCTGCCTACAGTGGCACCAGCTCAGGGCTGAAGTACAGTAATAACATCATTTGTGTCCTCGGATCTAGCCATGACTGAAACCCCTGCACTTTTTAATTAAAGAGACCAAAAAGTTTGCATTTTATCTAAGAATTTTTCAGCTGCCCTTACTTCTGGCACTTATAATAAGAACAACACAAATAAAAATCCTAACTGAAACAACATCAGCTGTCTAGTACAATTTCAAGGACAGATACAATAGCCAAGGCAGGATGTAGGCAGCTTAAGAACAGAGCCACTTGACATGGTAAATTCAGAATCCAGGGTCACTAGGGGGAGGAAGAGAGCTGGCCAGCCCCTGTGTCAGGAGGCATCCCTTCTAGGGGACAGGATAAGATGCTTAGGTCTGACTTGCATTGCCTGGAGATCTGTAGGGAAGTTGGAAGGAGGCATATAGGCCAGGGCCCAGTCTTAGACTTAGTCTATAGGTTTTCCTGAGGCTGTCCCAGGTAATGACGGTAGCTACCTTCTGCCCTTACTACATGCTACAAGGTGATATGGTATGCTATTGTATTTAATTCTCAGAGCAGCCCTGAGAGGTAGATATGTTATTGGACTCCAAATCCTGTGTTTTTAACTATATTATACTTCATCCAAACAGGTCATTGGGGCAGGGGAGGTTGGCTCTATTAGCCCATTATATGCAAAGTCCGTTATATGCAATCTCACTACATCCATTTTATAGGTAAGGAAACCGAGGCTTAGAGGTAGTGAGCTGCCCAAAGTCACTTGGCAAACTGGATAAACTGCCCAGAAGTGATATTCCTCACATGGAGCCTCCAGCCAGTCTTCAGTTTGTAGAAACCCAGTGTATGTGCAGGGGGAGGGGCTGGCCTCACCCCATAGACCCATGCTTAAAAGCAGTGATGGTATCAGTCTGGCTGAAGAGGATCTCTGAGAGATGAGGGGACCAATGGGTGTTGTGGCCACAGATCCAGTTGCAGAACACAAACCCCACTACAGCAAAGAGCTCTGCATTCACAAAAGATTCTCAGCTCCAGCCAAAGCCCTATTTATTTTTCAGCAACACTTGATATGGACAAATTCCAGTTCAACCAGAGACACTCAGCTTCCTGGCATTCTGTGCGGGCGGGGCGGGGAGGAACCTCTCTATGAAAGGTTGGTCCATCATCCTCAGTAAAAAGGCTGCACAGCTGTACTTAGCTGCCTGAGGGGTGGGAGTTGGACCTGCCTGGCTTCCTCCCAGAGGAAAGTAACTGTTCCAGCCCAAGCCCCAGGAGCCCTCACTGTTGGGCCTGCCTTGATGCTTTGCCGACCCAGAGGCACCTGTCCTAGAGAGACAAGGCAAGGCTGTCTTTCTCCATTCCCTGGGTGATTTGTGCCTGGAGGGAGTGACCAGGCAGGAATCCAGGCGACAGGACAGAAAGGGCCAAGTCAGCCACTGTTGTTCACGGTTGGAAATTTGCCAGAGGACTGGAAGGTGCACTGCAATCCCACCATCCTCCTCACCCTTACTGCAGGACACCTTGATGCACGGGGTAGGGTGGCGCAGGGATCCAGCCCTGAGGGTTTCCTGAAGTCAGGTGAGCAGCCTTCTGGTCTCCTGGATTTATTTTCCACAAGTGTCTGTAACCTCTGAATCTATGGCAAATGTTGAAGGAAGGAACGAAGGGAAAGAAGTAGGTTCATGAGGTCAAACCCAGCTAGCCCTTCCAGATCTGGGAGGCCCAGCATGGCTTCTGAGGGCACACAGTCTGTGTTTAAAATTCCAGCTCTACCATTTCTTTCCTTGGTCAAGACCTTAATTTCTTGCCATACTCATACTAGTATTTTCTGCTATGTGCTAGGGATTCAAAGGTAGGCAAAACATGGTGGACTCAGTTGCCTTCCTGCAGCTACAATTAGGAGCTAAATATTAGGAGGAGATAAATATTAATCAAACAACAAATAACACCCCACCACTACCACCAAAAAAGGAGAAATTTTCAGGAGAGATACATAATATATAATTAGGGAGCATTCACCCACTCTGGGAGTTCAGAGAAGTCTTTCCTAAAGAAAAGGTAATGAAGCTGAGGTCTGTTTACTGGAACAGGGCAGGAGGGGCACTCCATGGAGGGGGAATAGGATATTCAAAGATAGATCATTTGGCAAGAGGGAGAATGGCCCCTCCAAGGAACTGGAAGATGGCTCATGATGCTGAAATACAGAGTGGAGTGGCAGGTGGGGGTAGACCATGCAAGAATGTGGGTCTTCATCTTAAGAGCCATTGGAAGCATTTTGTGGTTCTGTAAGTAGGGAGGTGAGATGACCCCCTTGTAGTTTGAAAAGATTACTCTGGCAGCAGCCAACTATGGATTGGAAGGGAACCAAGGCACATTCAGGAGTCCAGTTAGCAGGTCTCAGATATTTGCCTGTAAAATGGGGTTAATGATAATACTATCTTATAAGCTGTTGCCAGAATTCAATGAGATACTGCATTTCAAGTGTTGATTCTAGTACGGAGCACATAGTAAGGGCTCAGTTATTGTTACTTTTGTTGGTTCTCTTCAGAGAGCACATCTTTCTGCTTCACGCCTGCTCCTGATAGGATGGGAGGAGGGTAGTGGCAGTGGTTTCTAGGGCAGAAATGGGGTTTGTATTAAGTCACAACTTTGAGGTCAGAACCCAGGAATGCCTGAAGGCCTCATTAGAATGGCTTGAAGTATGAAAGATTCATGAAGAAAAAGTGGGCTCCAATTGCTCCCAGAAGCATTCTGGAGAGACGGGTCAAACACCCTCCTGACAGTAAGCTCTAGTGTTGGCTAAGAAAAAACTTGCTTTTCTGCTGGTGTTGCGATGAGCTGGTGTAGGACTCCGCGCGAGTGTGCAATCGCACCGAGGCCGGTACCATTGTCGCTGCTCAACCCCAGGAGGACCCACAGGCTTCCGCCTGGCCCTGCTTCCCCCGCTGCGAAGCGTGGATGCCGGGCAAGGCAGAGGGTGCCAGGAGGAGGGAGGGTCCCCGGATGGCCGGCTCCAGCCCGCCCGCTGGGGCTGCCCCCTCCCCAGTCACGTGGCCTGGTGGGTGGGGACCGACCTGGAGTTGGAGAAATCCTGAGCAATCCCAACTTCGGAGTGCGCCGCTCATCCTTGGGGAGCCCAGGCTGTGGGTACTGGAGGTGGAAACTTGGGTAGCCGAGCAGCGGCGCGGACGGCGGGACCCGGGGCATGGCCCAGCTGTCGGTGATTCCGGGGTCGGCCACTGCATGGACAGGCGAGTGGGGACGTGGAGGTGGGCGGCAGTTGGGGTGGGAGAGGCTGCTCCGGCACTGGGCTCCCACGCCCGCTTCGCAGTCCAGGGAATGCGGGGCACCCACACCGGGGACGGGCGCTTAAAGCGGCCGTGGTGGACTCCCGGCGCTCCTAATCCGTCCCGCCAGCGTCACCCATCCTGGCCTGCTCTTCCCCACGGCTGGGTGGCGCGGAGACAGGTAGTGGACGCGGACTCGGGGGCGGCGCGCGCCGGCTTGGGGCTCTGTGCTGGCCCCGCCCCCCTGCGCGCTGGCTGCTCCCCGTGACGTCACGCTCGGCTATATAAGGCTCGGCGCGCGGTTCTCTCTGCGCTGGAGGAGCTCGAGGCTGAGGGCTGCCGCGGAGCAGGGAGCGACCGGGACGCTGGGCCGCGGGCGCCTCAGCGATGTTTTACTCAGGGCTCCTCACCGAGGGCGGCCGCAAGGAGACGGACATGCGGGAGGCGGCGTCGCTGCGGCAGCAGCGCCGGATGAAGCAGGCCGTGCAGTTCATCCACAAGGACTCCGCCGACCTGCTGCCTCTGGACGGCCTCAAGAAGCTGGGCTCGTCCAAGGACACGGTGAGCCCCCGCGGCCGCGCCCGCCTTGGCCTCCCCGCGCGCGGTGGCCTGTCCCCTCGCTGCGCTGTCTCCCGGGGCCCGTGCGCTGCCGCTTTCACTGAGTCACCACCCCGACCCGCGCTGGCCGCCGTCTCCTGCCGCCGCCTCAGAATCCTCTCCGGCCAGCAGCCCCGCTTCAGGTCCTCTCAGGATTCCGTCGTCGCATTTCTAGCTCGCGCCGCCTTCCGCTCTGCCTCCTCCCTTCGTGTCTACCTTCTCTCGAGTAGAAGAGACCCTGCCCTGCCCCCTGGCCCTTAGGTCGCCTTTCCTTCTCCAACCCAGTTTGCTTGGGAAAGCCGGAGCCCCGGAGGCTGCTTGGCCGTCCTGTGACCCAGACAGAGGTGACTCCCAATGTGTGTGAGACATAGAGGAAGCCGTGGGAAGGGGGGGGCCTTCTTGGCAGTCACCGTATCCAGATGCATCCGTTTTCCCCCTAGGCAAAATCTACTTCTCCGTTTGATTTTGGGTTTACCTACCTTTGGCCTTCCATCCTGAGGGGGTAGAGAGAAAAAGGGTCGAACGTGAAGGTTTCCTGAACCCCAAACATCTCTTCATCATTCTCATCTCTCATTCTACTCCACTGCTACCCTTAAAGAGTGGGTAGAGAGAGGAAGCCAGGCTGCTCCATTTCACTGACCAGCTAACTGGTGGAGCTGGCACAGTCTTTTTTCTAGCCGGCTGTTCTTCGCATTAAGAAGGAGAAATTCCAGGACTGGAGGTCTGAGTTCAAAGACCACTCTGTGCTCTGTCTATAATAGGAGGGGAATGGGTGGGTAAGGGTTACTAGCTTAAGGAACTGTTTGACTTTTGTCCTTCAGTCATTGTAGGGTTCTGGGACAAATTTATGTTTAGTTTTGTTTTATCTGGAGGTTTCCTGTAGTTTACTTGTTTTCGTGAATTTCATCATCACTTTTTTCATCTGGGCAATAATATATGAAGCATTAATTAAATGTCTTTTAAACGAAGTAGATACTCTGCAATTTTTCTGGTATTTTTGTTTAGCTTTTAAAATGGTTAATTTGTCAGGGAAGGGTAGTGTCAGCCTGGTTCACTGAAATTACTATTTCCAGCTCTAGAATGACTGTGGAGGGCAGAGCTTCTGAATCCACTTTCCTTTTTTCTTTTTTAAACAACTCTAATGACACATAGATACCAATATCAGATTTGCCCTCACCATCATGGTAGAGTAGTTATGTATGTGCAGAGGATGTCTACCCAGTTATCTTGCTCTGATTTTTCAAAAGTATTTTTTCTGCACAAGGCACAGGATAGTCAATCTGATTCATGCTCAGAGTGGTGAGTGACTGAAATGTATTCCTAGAGAAGAGTTAACTCTCTTCTCTTCTTTCACTTTAAAGCAAAGTGATGCATTTAGCAAATCAGGTCCAAATCTTATTATCTTCAGCCCAAATTATCCTAGTTCCTGGAAGCCGCAGAAACAAAGAAAGAGAAGTTCAGGAAAAGAAGTAAAATGTGGAATTTTTTTTCTTCCTGTTATGCTGGATTTAGGATATGATTGACATTTGGTTATCCTGATCTGTCAAAGAGTTCCCTAGTGATCCTTGAGGAACTATCTCTCTGTCCTTCTGCCTAGCATTCCATGTATTACTTCATCCTGTGTAGTAAGAATTCCATCTGCTTTCTGACTCCAGCCTGTCTCAACTGAACCATGAAAGAACTAATAGCATAGAATATAGGCAGTAGGCTGAAAGGAGGATAGATTCTCAAGAAGCAGGTTATTGCCATGAATGTGACACTCAGCAGTTTACTGTTAGACCCTGGATCATGGTTCACACTTTCTCTGCCTCCCGCACACCCAATTGCTATGGAGTTGATATCCCTCTTTGCTATTTTCACACCTCTACTGTGCAAATGATTGCACAGAAGAGCTAGAACAGGTCACAGAAGCCAAGGCAGACTGAGATAGGACTCAGAGAGCTGTGAGTACTGGGGTGAAGTGGCATCTTGGAATTGCTGTGGCTGCCTCAGTAGTCTTAGAAATAATCTTAGAAATACTCTATCCTTCACTTGATGAATACATGTGGTAGTATAGACTGGTGTTGACTCAATTTTCTCTCACTGTAGTGAAATTTTGAAGATGTCAAAACTGAATAAGTCTATAGTACAAACCCAAAGAGAGACATGGGGAAAGGACAAATTAATTTTAATTGATTCTGTGGTTTGTGCCAGTGAGAAGATTGTAGATTGTTTTCCTCATACTAGTGACCTATATCAGAATTATACTGCTGGGTTTTCTGAACTATCTATCTTTTACCATGCTGTTTCTGTAACATTCATGATTTGACCAGCCTGCAAACTTTTTTTGGATTGGCAAAGAGCACTTGTAGGCAATCAAATGTAGTCTTGTTCTCTTGGTCCCAGGAAGTGCTATGGTCCTATTCCTGTTTGTGTGTAGTTGGCTGCTACCAAGTCTGCTGTGGAAATTAATCTTATTTCTCATGTATGGCTCTCTTATTTTATTTATCCTTTTATCTTGTGCTGTTTTTTTCTGTATTAGATTAAGAACCAAAGTTGGAGATATGAGTAATATCTCCACTGAGATATTAATCTGAGAAAAAAATCTCCACTCTTGTAGTTTTTCCTCTTATGGTTTCTTTTGCCTTAGCTACCAGGTTCATAAATGTTCTTCTCACTGAGGTCAAGACTTTTTAATTTGTAAAGATAGTCCTGTCATGGGATAATAGTCTGTCTTTCTTATATGATAATATTACTGAGGGACAGGTCATATCTTTCATTGTCCAACAATAGAGAGAGTTTTACTTTTCTATTTATGACTGATTCTGCTTATAGCCAAATGCTTTAGCAAAACTCACTAAACTTAGGAATGAAGATAGGGGCAAGGATGGTGGAAAACAGTGAAGCCAAATGACTAGCCCTGTAGTGAGTATCCGATCTACCTGATCAGAATCTGTTGTCAATTACAGCAGTCTTGGGTGGTACTCTATACATTAACTATTCCTAATGCAATAAGACATCCATAATGCTACAAGTCTTAGACCATAGAACTTTGGAGCCCTAGAAGAGGAGCATTAAATATCAGTATAATACCAGAATGTGGTGCAAGCTGAAGATTTCTAGAGCCATGGTTGCATCCTAATTATAGCAAACATTATTTGAACACTTGCTGTGTTGAGGACACAGTACTAGGTGTTAAGATCACAAAGAAGAAGACAGAATTTCTGTCTACAAGGAATTTATAGATTAGGTGGGAGGACAGGACAGATTAATAAATTTATTCTACAAATATTTATTCAACACTTATTACACATTAGGCAATAATCTAGGTACTGAAGATATCATAGCCAACCAAAATGGAGTTCCTGCCCTCATGGAACTTGCATTCTTGTAGGGAGAGAGGGCAGAAAATAAAAACAAGTAAACATACAATGTATCACATAGCAATTGGTGCTGTGGAGAAATTAAACCAGGGAAAGGGTATAGGGAGTGCGGTGGCTGAGGTAGAGTTGAGTAGAGCCTATTTTATATAGGGTAGTCAGGGAAGGCCTCTCTCATTAAGATTATGTTTTAGGAGATACTGAAGGAAATGAGAGAGCAAAATATCTTGGAGAAGAATGTTCTAGGCAGAAGGCGCAAAGGCCTGAAATGTCAGTGTGCTTGTAGTGATTAAAACTGTAAAGATGTAACCATGGCCAGAGAAAAATGAACAAACGGGAGGGTGATAGGAGATATCATCAAAGAGGTAGTAGGAGGCCAGATTACTTAGGGCTTTATAGGTCATCGTATAAGATATTTGGCTTTTAAACTGATATGGGAAACCAGTAGAAGACTTTATGCAGAGGGGTGATGTGATTTGGCTTATTTTATAAAAAGATTACTCAGATTATTGTGTGGATTAGACTATGGAGGGCCAAGAGTAGAAGCAGGGAGACTGGTTAGGAGGCTATTAACAGTCATCCAGTCTCAGAGCCGCATAATAGCATTGAAGGGAACAAGAAGAGACTGGGTTCTCGATATATCTTGAAGGCAGAGCTGACAAATTTAGTTGATGGATTTGATTAAGGATCTGAAAGAAAAAGTAGTCAAGAATGACCTCAAGATTTTTCATCTAGCAGTTGGAAGAATAAAGTTGTCATTTATCGAAGTGGGTAAGACTACAGGAAGAACAGGTTAGGGGAACAGGAAACAGGATAGGGAATAAGAGTCAGGAATTTGATTTTTGAACAAGTTAAGTTTGGGATGTCTATTAGTTATTCAAGTATAGTTGTTGGGGAGACAGTTCCATGAGAAAATAAATAACACCACATGGAAGCCTGTGCTAGTTGCCAAGAGGTTACAGTCAATAAACACTAGAGTTCAGTAGAAGAAGTCATTACTCTGGATTTTATGACGGTAGTGATGGAGACCATCATTTGACTGCAGCTTCATCATTTCCTGGTGAGGCAACTGACTATAAGATTAGGGAGAGGAGGCTTTCTCCAGAATGTGTCCTATAAAACCTCAGAGTAAGAACTTTAAAGGTTATCTGGTCCAATTCCCTGTCTATGTAAGAATCCTTTCCAACAAAAATGCATCCTTCCATGGACAACTGAGAAACCACCATCTCAGACCAATCTACAAGGCAGGTAACAATCAGGAATAAGGTTGTTCTCTTTGAAATAACGTGTCTGTCAGGTTACAAGGCAAAGGCAAAGTAACAGAACACAGAAGGCCTGAGGCAATGTGACAGCCTGCCTTAGGTGAACTCCCATGTGTTTTCAAGCAACTATAAATCCGGTCTATGTTCCCATGGAGTAGAATGGGTCATGTGTTGTAGATTCAACTAGCAAACAAAGAGAAGGCACAAATGTTAGTGTTCTTTTAGATTACCAAGGCCAGATAGTGACATGTATATATTGGGCTTGAAGTGAGAATCTATCAGGAGTCCATGTTTATTTACAAATAGTAAATGAAGACTAAAATGGAGTAGGATAATTTAATGT